CGGCGGGGCAGGGCAGGTGGCCGCCAGGGCGGAGCCGCGCTGGTTGTGACAGTGAGTGGCAATAATGGGGCAGCTGTGTGCCACCCACTGGGCGATGTGCAGGCACCGACAGCACAGCTCTGGGGGTGAGCGCGACTGCCCCGCGCCCTGCGGAGAGGAGAGGGGGCCACAGTGTAGGGTGGCGGCTCCGCGGGGGTGGGAGGGCTGGGGGACCCCTGCCCTGCCTGCACCGCCCGCCATGAAGCCGGCAGGGGCGGGAACCAGGACTGGACCTGGCTTTGGAGTCAGCTAGGCCGTCTTGGCGGTGGTGGGCGTCGGTGGCTTCCTGTTCTCCGCAGCAAGGCAGTGAAGCGCCCAGCGGGGCTCGAAGGCCGCAGCTGTGTGACCTTGAGCAATCGAGGCCCGCTCCGGGCCGCACCTGTGCCCTGTTGCGTGGCTGTGGCCGCTAAATGCCGTTCCGCACGAGCCCGACCAACCTGCCTGCAGTGACTGGGTTGTTGGTACCTGCAGCGGTGACAGTAACACTGCTGACCTCCTTTGGGGCGGGAACGTTTCGGGGTCATTCCAAGTAGTGATGTCGGGACTCACTTCAGAGCTGGGCGCACTGTGCCCCAGAGACCTCCCTGAGCCTGGTGGTGCCCTCAGAGGGCTTCAGCTGTGTCTGAGGGGCGTGTCAGGGGGTAGGAGGACCCCCGTGCCAGGCTCAGTGCCAGAACCTGGCTCCCAGCTGCCATCCTGTGGCCATTTCTCAGATTCTGTCTTCATCTGTAAAGTGGGGATGACTTCATTACCTACCTCTCCTGTTGACTCAGGAGAGGCCAGAAAAGCACTTGTCAGCTGCTCTTTGCATGCTGGGGTTCCTCCCAGTGGCTTTCCACTCAGCCCTGACATCCCAGCTCATCACCCAGTGATGAGCCCCCCAGGGCATGGGGTGATGTACTTGGCTCATTGACCCAGCTCAGAAGGGCCCAGGGCCTGCCCAGCCCCAGCCCCAGCCCCTTCCTGTCCAAGCCTTTGTTTCCTCTTCCCTGGGCTGCTGGTGGCTGTGAAGCTGGCGGAGAACTGGGTGCACCGCCCCAGCGTGCTCCTGGGGCCCCGGCTCTGGTGCTGCCAGGCTCTGGGGGCCTGGCCTTAGCGAGGTGGGTATTTCCAGTGCAGGGCCACGTCCAGGTTGTCCGCTGTCCCCACCTCTGCCCCAGACTACACCACAACAGCCACTGGCTCTGAGCATGGGAAGCCTCAAACTGGGGCTCCCTTGGGGCCTCCCCAGGCAGGCCAGGGGAGAAGAACCGAAGGCAGCAAAGGGGAGGACAAAATATGAGGAAGAGTCCATGCTGTGGGGTTTGAACTCCAGCTTCCCAGCTTTGTTGCCGTGTGACTCTGGGTAGGTCTCTGAGCCACACTTCTTTTCATAGAACACCCCTACTTTGCAAGGGTGTGACCGGGAGCCAGAGAGAGAGTGTAGGTGAAATACCCAGCACACGCAGTGCTGGTACGCGCCGAGCGCCTTGGGACTGGCCTCCTGCCAACTCCCAGGCGCCACGGCGTGGGGTCCGTGCTGGCCTGCCCCAGCCGCTCCGCCCCCGTGGGAGCTTGGAGTAAGCCAAGCACAGAGCCGGAGAGTTTAGTGGTTCGGGGGAGCGCCACCCCTGAACCACCGCCACACCATACAGGGAACGAGCCAGAAGGGACGGGCTCTGCTCCACCTCAGCTGCTCCACAGACCACTCCCGGACTGTGACCTGCGGCCTCCAGCCGTGTGCTGCAGAGAGCTGGACAGGTGAGCGAGCCACGGGTGCGTGGCGGCCAGCACTGGGCGCCAGGAGGCGCCGGGCTCCAGGCTCGGCAGCAGGCAGGGAAACGGCCCCTTTTACTCTGGAGGGGAGCGAGAAAGAAAACGAGCTACAAAGCAAGCCCACAGCTGAGACACCATCTGTGTTTTCCTTTTTTTTTCTTTCTTTTCGTTTTTAAAACAATATAGTGCAGACTGCACTTCTCACAGTAGAATATAATGGTCAATTTTAGTATAAAAAAAAAACATTCTCAGAGATTTGTAAATGCACTTAGTGCTTGAACAGGCCTTGGAGAGAGATACAGTACCGCTGTTGGGGCGCCAGAGGGGCCGGGGCGTGGGGAACGTGGGCCTCGGGGACGTAACAGGGTCCTGCCTGCCTCCCCCTCCCCTTGATGGTGTGGGCAGGCTTTGGGGGTGCAGCTTGCACGAATGGGATCAGATTGCCCAGTGAAAACCAGGAGGTTCCCCCTTGCTGGCTCCGAGGAGACCTCCCAGAGAAGGCAGAGTAAGGCCCCTCTGACGGGGGTCGGGGTCTAAGACCGCAGGCCTGTTGGTCACCCCTGTGGTGCCGTTGTGCGGATAGAAAAATGGCACCCCTTCCTCAGGTTCGGAAAATTGCTGTAATAAATACACGTGTAGGGTGCAGGTGGCGTCTCCTTGCGCGAGAGGCCCTTGTGCAGTGTGCCGTCTGCACGGCTATGCCCAGCAGCCCTGGGAACCGTACTGCAGAGAGGGGAAGGCGGTAGGCCAGAGCGGGGTGTGGGCCTGTGTGGGGAAGGGGGGGGCGGGAGGCGGGTCTCGGGCAGGAGCAGGTGGGCCGCAGTCCTGGGGCCTCTGTGAGAGTGGTCTGCACCTGTCCTGGCCGGTGGGGGATGCTGTGGGCCAGTGACTTCCTCTAGGCCTCTCTGCTCCTTTCCCAGGAGACAGCATCCTGGGGTCGGGAGAAGCTCTTGACGTCTGGCTCTAGACCATCCTGCATCCCACCCTGGCCCCAGCCCCTTTTCCCTGGAAAAGCAGGAGGAGCCATTCCTATGTGTAAGTGGTTTCTCTCTCCCTGTCTCTGCCAGCTTGAATGGAGGAAGGCGTGGAGGCAGCGGCTGCCTCAGGCACTCCCAGGGTCCTGGGGCAGCGGATGGGGGGGCCCTTTGTGAGTGGGGTCACTGCCGCTCCCAGACAGGTGGCCGGATGGTAGCAGCCAGCCTGGCTTCCCTGTGGGCATCAGCGGGCACGTAAGCACGGGGCAGGGCCCTGCGGCCTGCTCCCCCTTCGGCACCCCGTCCGTCTGTCCATGCGTGTGCCGGGCAGGCCTTATCTGTAGACGGGCAGGCGGATGTGGGCGTGCTGGTGGTCAAGCAGCCGGGGCACAGCCACGGTCTCGTAGCCCTTGCCCAGCATCTGCTCCTTGATGCAGGGCGGCCGGATGTCGTTGATGAGATACTCCAGCGACTGCAGGCTGCTGCTCAGCACCGACGTGTTGCACATGCTCTTGCTGGGCAGGCCTGAGAGGGCCTCTGCGGGGGGCCCCGCCAGCTCCCGGGCGGCCCCCGGCCCCAGCTCGGTGACCGCCACCGCAGCCGCCGGGTTGTAGCAGTCGCTGGTGGGGGTCGCCAGCACACTGTTCCAGGGGGTGGCAAAGTACTGGCCCACAGGGAAGCTGGCAGGCAGCCCCATGCCACAGTTGAGGGGTGATCCAGTGGCCCGCTCGTAGGCCCGTCCCCCACAAGCCTCTGGGGACTTGCTGGCCACCGCACCGCCGCTGTAGGCCCGCAGGGGCTGGGGGGGCGGCGGGGGTGGCTTCTGCGGCCACAGCAGGTAGTCCAGGCCGCCCTCCGCGTACCCTGCGGGCTTGGTGGTCCCAGCCAGCGTCAAGGCCGACGTGCTTCCCTGGCCCAGCTCGGTGCCTTTTCGGCAGTCGGGCAGACCAGCAGTGGCAGAGTAGGCCATGCTGGGGAAGGTGGGCACCGGGCCATGCTTGGCCGGGCTGGGGTGGGGAACGGCCACGCCCTGGCAGGCCGTGGGCGCAGCGCCTGGGGCCTGGCACTGCTGGTTGAGCTGGTAGAGGATGCTGTGGATGGAGGGCAGGTTGGACGGTGGCAGGGGCAGGCCGCGGCCGGGTAGGGGGATGACTGAGGTGGCGGTGGCGGCCGCAGGCAGGCTGGGCGGTGGGGCAGGAGCCTCGGGCGGCTTGGGGTAGGCCAAGGGCCCCAGAGTGCTGGGCGCCGGGTAGGGCGCGATGCCCACCTGCACGGTGGCCGGAGACAGCTTGGTCCGCTTGCCCTCGGCGCTCTTGAGCACGCTCTTGGCTGGCCCAGCGGGTGCAGCCACGCCAGAGGAGGAGACGGCAGCCTTGACGATGGCCAGCAGGCCCTGGTAGCCGGCAGCATGCGGCGGGTAGGGGCTGTAGCGCTGGCCGCTGGTGTCGTAGCCGTTGACAGTGCGGCTGAGGTGCTTGTGCTGGGGCACGCGGATGTTGGTGGGGAAGATCTTGATGGACAGCGGGCTGTTGGCCACCTTCTCAGCGTAGGCGTCCAGCTCTGCCGGGCTCGGGTAGCGGGAGGAATGCATGGAGCTCACCACCGTCTCACCTGCGGGACAGGTGAGGGCAGGACAGCAGGTGAGGGCAGGACAGCAGGTGAGGACAGGACAGCAGGTGAGGGCAGGACAGCAGGTGAGGGCAGGACAGCAGGTGAGGGCAGGACAGCAGGTGAGGGCAGGACAGCAGGTGAGAGCTCAGCGAGGCCTGAGGCCACGCCCCCCCAGGGCCCAGGGAGCTGCCCTTCCCTCCTTTCACTTTCACGTTCATTCATTTCATCTACATTTTGAAGCTTTGGGTCAAAACCTAAACTACAGAGAGGAAACCGCCAGCAGTAAACTTGCCGCTGTGCGTCCACGCGACCCAGCTCAAGGACAGGACAGGTTACGTGTCCTGGGCCAGTCCCAGACAGCAGCCTGCCGCGGCCTGGGATCCTGCAAGCCAGGCTGGGCGGCTCCCCTCCACGGCAGGCCAGGTGGGGGCTCCTGCGGGACGGCCCCACCCGCAGCCCCACCCGCAGCGCGCTCACCCTTCGGCCTTCCGCTCTGGGGCTGGTGCGGCAGCACCTGTGTTCCCTGGGCTGTGGGGAGATGCAGGGAGTGGAACTGTGGGACACGGGAAGGTGGCTGCTGAGCGTTGGAGGCGCCAGGCTGCTCCCCCCACACTACCTGTGGGTGGGTGGTAGTTTGCCCCCCAATCCCTGCACTTGGCCTCTCAGTGCTGCCCCATCCTCACTCGGAACTTGGGAGGATGATGTGCTGTGCCCTGGTGGGTGGGGTACAGGACACGGGGGCGCTCATCCTGAGCGCCCATTCCCTGGCTCAGTCAACAGGCAGGTGAGAAGGGGTCCGCCCTCCTGGCAGCCGAGGCCAGCGTGGTGGCTGCGGCCTGTTGGTGAGCTGCCAGTGCTGGGTAGGGCGCGCCTGGGGTCAACCGCCGACGTGCCAGTCAGGCGCCACTGTGCGGGAGAGCGGAGCGGCTCGCTGGCAGACCCTGCTCCCGTCCAGAGCCCCTCCCCAGTCCTCAAGGGTTTCTGGGGGCCACCCAGACCCTGCCTGGGGTAGGGAGTGGAGCAGGGTCTGCAAGAGAAACTGAGACCTCCCACCGCCAGCATTCGCAGCTGGAGGGCCTGGGCATGGGGCTGTGGCCCTAGGACGGGGGCAGTGACTGCCGGGTGGCCTTTGGGAATGACAGCCGGGGATGGTGGGGGTCGGGCGCCCGCGCTTGGGTGAGACCGTCACATGCTCTCAGCACCCAGCGGTATTTGGCGTATGGAGAGCTGCTCCCCTTTGAGCCTGTTTCTTCACCTGAAAATGGGGCTGCTGCTAAGAGGGTGGCTGTGAGGGCCTCCCTAGCCATGTGGGGCACGTCAGCGCATGACCCTGTTGCAGCTCTTCCCGTCGGCCGGGAGAGGAGGCTCAGGGGCGCCTGCTCAGGGCGGGCTGGCACTGTGGCCTGGCCCCCTGCTCCCCCAGACCCACCCACACCCCCCATCAGCAGGCCACACGCCACCCTGTCCTTCTGGAGCCTTGTCCACGACCCCTCGTGAGTGCACAGCCAAAGGTGTGCTGTGATGGGGAGCCAGGCAATGTGGGGGTGCAGGCGAGGAAGTGTGTGGGTGGGAACCGTAGATAATTCAGAATAAGAACGGGAGCCCAGCGCCGTCTGCATAAGACCAAGGGGAAGCGTGGCTCTGCGGGAGGGACAGCGGGCCCCCACGTGCTTTGTGCCTGGCACACTGGTGATGCCAGCACGTGGGCTTGTCACACTGAGGGAGGGTGTGTCACTGGCATTGATGGGACTCTGTGGAAGGCCATGCTGCACACAGAACTGGGTGCATGAGAGCGGGCAAGGCGTGGGTGGCCAGGCTGGAGCAGCCTGCCCGGGGCCTCAGCAGCACAGGTATTAGCAGAGATGCAGGTTGGACAGGTCCCGTCCGTGCCCTGAAGTGATAGGAGGTCTGACTCCCTGAGGCAGGGACTGAGCAAGGTGGTGGGAGCCCTGGGGAGGCGGGAGGCCAAGGCCCTCATCCCCCTGGCCTGACCAAGGCCAGGCAGGTGGCGCAGCCCCTGGCTGGACACAGGCCCCACCCTGACCTGGCCTGGCCAGCCCCCTCCTAAGTGGCCTAAAATAAACTCGGTGTGGAGAATGGAAATGTCACTTGGGCCAGTGGGGGAATCTTTCTCCGAGATTGGATTTAAACTACATTATACAAGCAATTTCATGGGCACTTAGCGCCGCTCGGAGAGTCCCGCAAAAAAGGGACCAGCTCTTCATTTACCAGCCATAAATCAGCAGTTGCTATAATGAGCACAAAAATGTCACTTTTATGCAATTTTACAGATGAACAAAACTGGTGAAATTAACTGTGGTAACCTACTATAGTCAGCAAAAGCGGCTGCCGAGGAAAAAATTATATCTGTATGTATTTTTGTTCCTCTTAAACTCTCTTCCCAAGCAAGTTTCTGCCATTGTGGTGTGAAAACTCATTTGTCCTCACCATTATACTTTCATTTGGAGTTTATCTTGAGTATCCAATGAGCCACCAACTGTGAAAATGATTAAATCTACAAAATCTATCTAATGGACGGAATAAATTAGGTGTTCAAACCTTAAGAAGGAAAAAAAGAACAACGCCTGTTCCTAGTCACTGAGAGAAAGGGCGCGCGGGGGGCCCCCACTTGGTCAGTGGGGCTCAGCCAGGGGGGTCGGTCCCTCCTCTGTAGCTGGCGCCCAGACGGTGCGGCGCAGGCTGTGGTCGGGGGGCTGGGCTGGGCTCCCGCTTGTTTGGAGCGGCTGGGAGGTGGAGGTGGCCCCGTGTCACAGATGAGCCTCTCTGGAGGTCAACGGTGGGGCGACTCGGCAGAGGCGGGCAGGACGCCTGGGGCACAGCGGGTGAGCGTTGGCGATGTGAACCCCTAGTTGGTAACTAATACAAGTCCAGTTTTACAGGCCAGGAAAGGGAAACTCGGTTTCCCAAGACCACACAGCCAGGGAGCAGCAGCACTGGGACTGGACCTGGGCTGCTGCCTCCAGGTCATCTCCGCCCCCTGTACCCCGAGGCAGGCCGGGTTGAGACGCCCTCAGAAGGACAGTCCTGAGGAGGGCCAGAGTCAGCGAGGCGGGAGGTGACCCACAGATGCACCCCTGCCCCCCCCCCCGGCCCTTGGCTCTGCCTTGCTCAGATGTCTGGCGGGGGCGTCTCCCCAGTTATGTGCCCAATGCTTCAGTGTCCAGCAGGAGGGGGACTTTTGGGTGGGGTGTGGACCGACAGGTCACCAGAGTCCCTGCTCTGTGAGCCTTTTCCACCAGAGTTGCCAAAGTAGTAGCTTGGGCTCCTCAGGCCAGTCTGGACCCCGACTGCAGGAAAGCAAAGACCCCAGGCCCCCTTTCCTGCTCCCCACAGATGTACTAACTCAGAAAAGGCCTCTCATGACGGGGCCAGCTGGGCCAGCTGTCCAGGGTGGGCTTCTGACCCCACTGGGGTTCTGAGAGCTCCTGAGCATTGTAACACATGCACCTTGGCAGATTCTGACCTGCGGGGGTCCACCCCTGCCAGTCTGGGGCGCCCTGAGCCAGCCTGTGGTCTGTGTCCCTCAGCCTACGGGGCCACTAGCTGCTGTGGTTCAGATGTGGCCAGGTTGATGCACCAGCCGGGAGCCCCTGTCCGCAGTCAGACAGCCCCCACAGAGCAGGCACCCAGAGACCATCGCAGTCCCGCGGCCAACAATTTCCCGAGCCCCCGCCCCCCACGTGCAGGTGCTGGGTTTTGGGGCCGCAGCCACAACCAAAGCAAACAAGTCCTTGCCCTTGCGGACCTATGTCCCAGCGGGGAGATGACACAGGAGGGTCGGAAGCAGCCCCTAGAGCAGTAATGCACTGGGGTGGTGGCTTGAGAACATGGCCACAAATCCTCCCACAGGTGGTGGGCCGAATTGCCCCCCAGCCCTGTGCGAGCCTGGCCGCGCGATCCTGCTGAACAGATGCAACAGCGCGGGCGTGTGGCAGGCCCGGGGCGGGGGGCGTACAGGGCCAGGAACTCCCACCTGGGCGCAGGGGCCGCACTCCTGCCACCCCCTGCACCATGTCCTGGGACACCCGGACCGCGTGGGGCCCCATGTGTGGTTGGGCCAACACCCTACATGTGAGGGTCAGCCTTGGGGAGCCCCCAGCCCAGTGTCCCAGCAGAGACCCTGTCCGTGGCATCACGGAGCAGAAACACTGTCTGGTGCCGCGCCTGCGTGTGGCTGTCACGCCACTGAGCTTGGGCGGTCCATTATACACCACAGTAACTGGACAGCAGGTTGGGGATGGAGCGGGGCTGGGTGGGGAGGTGCCTGGCTCCGGGGGGTTTCAAAGATTTCTTGGATAGGCTTGAGAGAGCAGGAGGGGAGGGAGTGAGCGAGCGCCTGGGGTTGGGAGGCCAGTGGGGAAGCACTGGGGGCTCGCGGGTGGTGAGCCAGATGTGAGTGGGGCTCTCACTCCACATGGAGGGTGGGGAGCAGAGATACAGCCCAGCTTAGGCTTTAGTGGGGCCCCGAGGCTACTGGGTGGAAGATAGGGGCAGGGAAAGGGGTGTCAGGAACATGTTCTGGGGAGCAGCTTGGCTCCCATGAGATGGAGTGCTCTGGGGGCCCCATCGGACCTGTGGCCCTGGGGCATTAAAACTTGGGTTCCAGAAGGATCTGCTAATGTGAGGAAGCGTGCAGGGCGCAGGAGGGGCTGCACGTGGACCCCCCCCCACTCCCCGCTGGCCTGGGAAGGGGGATGTCACTTCATGTTTTCTGATGTGGGTGACCACATGCTGCTTTAAGGTCAGGGAGGGGTGCACGGTGCCCCCCCTGGCCCTCCCAGGCCCTGCCCTGACATCTGCGTCTTGTAGCTGGCCGCAGAGCATCCTCCGCTTCCTGGCCCTGGACCTCCCAGAAAGGTGGCCCACGGTCTGAGACGGTGTCACGGCACAGGGCGGGGGCTGTGCACGGGGACTCACAGACACCTGGGCTCAAAGCCCAGCTCTGCCACACACAGTGGCCTCGGCTGGACCATGCCCCT